TGCTGCAATTAACAAATGTACCTTCTAGGTTTTATGACAAATGTAGAAATCGTGCATGGTTCCACATATATATCAAATTCTGGTCTATAGATTGCTGGTGGTACTGCTTTCTCTAAATTCTAAAATCTAATGCTATTACCAGGCAAAAATTAAGTGTAATACTTTTAGAATATTATTTTTCCATGTAAGTGCCTGCCATGAGGAACTGCAAATGAGATAAGTACTCCTTGCCCTTGTGAATGAAAGAGAGAGGAAGCTTCTGTATTAAAACCTGGCATGTAATGAAGAAGTTCACAAGTTCCTTATCCAGAGGGCCCATGAATTCATTTAAAAACAAACAAACAAATTAATCGCATTGCCTCAAAGACTGATACAACTGCAGGGAATCCCAGTTGCTAACCTTAGAGCTAAAGACTGGTGAAGTACATAATGATGGAGTAGGGTACAAAAACCTTGATTTTAAAGTGTTTATTTTAAATGAGCACTACTTGCTGTTATTTTTATTTCTGTTCAAGAGGAACATATCCAAAAGTGCCTATATAACTTAGGCAAAATTTCATCAGTGACTTGAAAGCCCAATCACCCATTTAATTTAATGGGTGATTTAGGTGCTTGAGTGCTTTCAAAATCCCACTATTTAAGGGAGGGTTGCCCAAATTCTCAACGTCTTGGAGCTGCATCCCTGCAGGCCATGCACCCCTGGGCCACACACCATGCAGACTCTCTTGCTGTGTTCCTCCTTCCCTCAACACACAGGCTCCCCTGCCTCTGTGGTCTCCCCTGTTGCATGAGCTGCCTCAGGGTTCCACCACGGCTCAGGCCACCTTGATCCCAGAAACCGAGGGACTTCGGGACATGCCACCTCACATACATGGGTGGGGACAGGAAGCACAAGCCAGAAGAGGGAGGGGGCATCCAGAGGCTCCAGGAAGCAACAGCAAGAGCAATGGCAGGAGCACCCAAGAGGGAGCCTGGGAGCTGCAAGTTAACTCCTTGTGGGCTGCAAGCAGTTCACAGCCTGCTAGATGGACAGGCCAGATCTAAAAAAACTTTCGAAATATCTGGCTCTGAGTGCCCAAGTCATTTAAGAAAACAGAATTTACAGTTCTCTCTTAGAAAAAATTTACTCATAAAGCTATATAGTTCAAACAAGGATCAAGACCCTTCCATCTTTCCCCTCCTGTAATAGGCACTGTGCAAAGAAGTAGCATAAAGAAAAATACTATTCTATAGAGCTCACACTAGCCTTGCAGGATTGTTTGATGTACCTCTTTCTTCCAATTCTTTCAGACTGATGAAATCTGTTGGACAAATTCATTCAGGTACTACTCCATTAATAGAAACTCAACTTACCCATTTTGCCACCACATTCTGTACTTCTGACTTTGAGTCAATGTTGGAACTGTAGACAGTAATAGAAATCCTGTAGAACAGCCCACCTGTCCATTAAACATGGTATTACAAAAGTTAGAAATATTGAATATAGTTTATGACTTATTGTCAATTCTTTATTGTCAATTTTTCTCAATTTCTCTATTTTTTACTGTCTTGAAAGATATTGGAACCCACATTCTGGGGCACATAAAACTCTTGAGTTTGTAGTCTCATTGTGTGTGTGTATCATGTATATACACATTAGAGTATACATAACACTTCATATACCATGTGTTTTATATCAGCATATACAAACATATACGTATATAGTGCTGCATTATGTATACTTCATATATTACATATATTAATATATACTCATATAGTCTATATATAGGATAGCATGCTTATAGAAGCATATATGAGTGTCATATGTGAATAAAATCATCTCAATGTAGGATATATATACAAAAAATAAACATTTATACATACATTTTATAAACTAGTGCTAAATAGTTTCACACTAACCACCAGATGGTGACCCAAAGCAAGATGCAGTCAGACTAGCAAAGCGTTACTTTACATTTGTCATCACTCTCAGGAAACTAGAGAACAACAGCAGGCAAAAATGAAAAGTGCTTCACTTTCCCCCGGTTAAAGGAAAGGTATTTGTTACTATCTTCAGAATATTGATTACAGAAAATTCTTCTTATAAAAAGATAACTGATGTAAAACCACCAAAAACCACTGAGAAAATCTGGGGGCGGGGAGTGAAAATTCCAAATATATAAGTTTAAGTTTAAACAGGACTGGATTTTTTCCTATGCTATTCAGATTTTCCAAAGTTTTCCCAGTTAAATTTGAGCTTGATCTTTGGTTTTTCAAAATTTAAATCCTCCCACATCATAAAAATATAAGTACTATAAATGAAAAAGAAAATCTAAACTAAATTAAAAATAAAATAAAAAATACTGGATATTGGGGCTGTAGGTGGTGGGGGAGGGGATAGTAAATAGATGATCATCAGTTATCCCTGTAGTCTCCTGAGAGCTTTGCTGGTTAGTAGCTAGGAAGACAGCAATGGAAGACCCTATATTATTAATGGAATATGCTATGTTTAAAGTTGTATCTGAAAGATGTTACAAATTCCCTACTACTGTTAAATTACTATTCTATAGTCTTATACTACATGAAGCTATGTATAAGCACTAAATCCAGGTATTTCTATATCAAATTCTATATCTACAAACTGCATATCTAGCAGATGAGATGATTTTTTCTACATCTAGCTTAATGCCTTGACATACTGTATTTGGCCTCAGGTCCACATGGGCAGTTCAAGTCAGCGAAGGAGTTACATAAACAAGATAAAATTGATTTGGGAGAGCTGGTAAGTAGGTTCAGTGGTGTATAAGGGGTGGAGTTTTGGCTTGCTGAAGCAGATAAATTGGCTAAGGAATTTGCATGCGCTGAAATGGATGACTGATGGTACTTTACTGGAGAAGCTGAAATTTGGGACTGCAAAACAGAATGATGGATGCTTGCTGCTCCATTAATCATTAGAGTGTAGTTTAAGATGTTCTCACTGTCATGAATAATAGTCCCAAGGTGTGGAGATGACAGAAATATTGTACTAGTTAAGTCTGAAATTCTTGTTGGTTCCAAAACAGAAGAAAGATTGGCTAATTTTCCATAACCAGCATAGTCTTCAAAAGTCTGAGGTATTGTTTGTAGTTGCAAATCAGAGACATGAATATTACTAGTGGTCAAAGAAGACATTCCTTTTTGAATAAACTGTTCAGTGTGCTTGTTAAAAGAACTGTATACCTCCCACTTTGATTCTCCTCTTGAGAACCCCAGTTCAGTATTTGATGTAGCACTTCTGGAGTTCACATCATCATAGATCATTCCCATTTGTGCTGTTTGAGAAGATGTCAGAATGCTGTCTCCATCTTCAACAGATTTTTGTCCTAGAATAGTCAGGTGACTTTTAATTCCTACATTCTGTAGATAACTCAAGCTTGGAGACATTTGGTCAAAGTAATTTGGAAGGTCTTGTGACAGTGGAGGTGTAGAAAAGACAAATGCTGTGGAGTAACTGTTAGGAGATATTCTAGACCTGATTTTTTGTTCTGAATGAAGATGATGTGTTGTTTCTAAAGACAATGGCATTATGAAGGAGTTAGAACTTGGTGAACTGTAAGTGTCTGAAAAATCAAGTTCCAAATCTGTCTGAGCATTGTTTTTTTCATGTTCTATAACTGTTGTCCCTGAAGTGCTTTCCATGATGGTTTGTAATACTGATGGCACTTTGGCTTCATCACTAACTGAACTCAGAGCTGATTTGTTGGCCATGCAGGAAGTATGGTTGTTCCTTGTACATGAAGGTTGGACTGTTGTGTGTGCGTGAAGGATTGAAGCAAATGTCTGTCTGTGTTGCTGGAAGGCCATATTAACTTGATTGTCATGTACACTTTCATCCCAAGTTTTCATAGTTAAACTAGTTAAAATGTTTGTGAAAATTGTTTGTGCAATATCAGTGGTAGTGGTCTGTAAGTGTATGAAAGGTTTGCTTGAAGATGTTTCCAGTGAAGGGAAAGGAGAATCAAATGAAAATGTATCACTTGCAAACACATTAATGTTAGAAGAAACAGCCATTATTGATTTTAACTCTGATGCTGTCCTTTCAGCCCTTTTTGAAATCTTTAGTGAAGGAATCACAACCACTGAACTTGAGCTTTCCATAGTCAAAGATGGCACAGAGCTAGCAAAGTTCACTTCTTTTATTACATAACCTGATACGTTAATGGTGGTAGTTTGTATAGGAATACTATCAAGTTCAGTTGGGGAACTGACAAATGGCAGTCTCTCTGTTGGGGAAAGAAGTGGTTTATTAAATAAGAATGACCCCCTTTCTGCAGGTTCCCCAGAAAACCGAGGAGTCTCTTGTTTGAAATGGTAATACATGGTCCAGTAATTTCCTAATAAAGAAGGAGCAATATCTACATACTGTGTTGGAACAACCATGTGTCCTTGTTTCAAGGAGTTTCTCCTGTTGTCTGACTCTTGTGTGGAAATAACAGAATCGTCCTGTAGGTTATCATTATGAATTGCATTTAAATTATCCTCCAGTATTTCAATTCCAGGAATCTCATTTGGTTTCCTTTGCAAATTTGTCAAGGGTTTTAAAGAATGAGGCATATAATTGATATTGTAAATACCTGTGTTGAGTTCAAATTCTTGTTCTGGAGATGACTTGTCATTTTGCTCTTTTGGCAACTTGGTCAAAGGTCTAACTGGAAACAAGTCATTTTTCAAATATTCATTATTAAAGGATTCTTGATAAACAGATACAGTAGTAACAGCATGTTGAGATTCTGAACTTGTCTTGCTTGTTCCTAGTAAGAGTAATGGCCACTTCACTAATTCTGTGCTGTGTTCAATTGTTAGAAGAATGTGTGACTGGACATCAGGCATGACTTCAGTATGTACTTCTTGCATATTTTGGAAGAAATGAGATGGAGTTGATGGTTGTGACTGTTTGGGGGTTAAGTTTGTATGGTCCACTGAATGTTGTTCCTTAGAATATTTAGCTCTTGTAGACTGCAATTCATCATTTAATGCTGGTATATATGGGCCATTCCTAAACGGATCTTCTATAATTCTCGTAGTGGGTAGTAGGTGAGTATTTGAAAGAGTAAATTTTGGTAAGTCCAGCCTACTTTTCTGATACATCAACTCCTGAGTAGAAGAAACAAATAAATTAGACTGGGAATGATAGTTTTCTTTTGGAATGTCAGGAGTGACATGATGATATGAAGTGGCTTTGCTCCACCAAGTTGAGGATTCCAAAACTCCATGTGTGCTTTCATGTATGAAAGAGGAAAAGATCCACAGGGATTCTTTTGTATGTCCATTAAGGGCATTTTTACTAACTGGAGACTGGAATGCTGACTCAGAGTTAGGATACAGATACTCCAGTGCATTAGGCAAAGTCCATGTCAGTTCTGCACCAAAATTTCCAGTCTGCAACGGAGGAACTACTACATTCTTGGAATAATCTGTACTTATAGGAGTTGTCAGAATTTGTTCTATATCATGAGTCTCACTTAGGAAACTGCTAGGATTATTTGAAATACTCTTACTGATTGACAGATTCATGGTAATATTATGTTCTATGCCTATATTTTCTTTAAAAGGAACCAAGCTACCAACTTCAGGCTCCCCAGAAGCAGGCGATGTGGCCTCAAAAGTATAGAGAGGGAACAAGTTGTACATATTTTTTCTCTCTGGGTTTTGTTCCTCAGCTGATGGACTTTTACTGGGATGGAGAGGCCTTTGTCTCACTGGCCAAATAATTGGTGTTGAGATAATTCCTATGTTTTTGACCCCTTTTATTTTAGAATCTTGCTGCCCTTGTAGTAGTGGATGGGAGCTGTCTGCTGAATTTCTCTTCATTCTGAAGATAACTGCAGCAGGAACTCTGAATTCCTGCAGGTCTATGTGTAGTCAGCCACAGAGTTAATGAATAGAAAGAGAAAACATTATTTGTGTAATCTTCCTGACTCTTCTTAAGTCAGGCATCAAGCTTAGTGTATTTGCTTATAATAAGTCTAAATTTTGGCTCATTGTCTCTTAGTCTTCCCGCTTTGGGAACTCATTGAGAGTTTCAAAGCCACCCAGAAAACTGGAACATTCAGTTCATATTAATGGTAGCGGAGCATTCAGTTTCCTCAGAAGTCTCTGAAACAACTCTGTTTTATTCTAATTAGGGTAACTGTTTGGTATGAACATCTAGAGATTAGCTTCATAAATAGTAACTAAGCACCCATTGACATAAGTGACTCAATACTTTTGGGATTTGGCTTCTTGCTTTTAAATTATGGTCAAGTACTAAACAAAAGGAATAGAGCAGTATAAATGGATGCATTTGTTAAAAGCACATAAACATTGATTTAATCCTCTGGAGTCTGCTGAAAGTGAAATCCTCACAGAAATGGAATTTTGAGTTATTTTGTAAGCTTTTACAGAAAATCAGCAATGCCACTGTATTATAGCTTCTTGACAAAATGTTAAAAGAAATTTCTATTTTCCAGTATGCTGCTAATAGCTTCATTAGTTATCATTCATTCCCACTCCCTTCTCTCCCCGATCTTTCTGAATTAAGTGCATCATACTGGTGCTGTTAGTATTTCCCTTAATACAACCAGATTCATCCCACCTTTAAGTAAATGGAAAAATTCCTATTGGAAGTGGAAGCTATTGTCATTTCCTCCTGAAAGTTACTAGTGGGGAATAGGCCATTCCAAAGTTCTACCAGCTTATTTGAAAAAGTGGTAGCTACATGGCACCTGAACAGTAGGGGTGTTAATATGTTCAAATCACGCGACTATTCTTCTCCCGTTCTTTTAAAATATTTTTCTGGGCTCTTTGTTCTTTGAAGATTAGTAAATGAACCATATAATCAATGTGTGAACTGAAATGTAGCAATATGACCCTTTTTGCAAGAAATATGCAAACTTGCTAAAACCGCGGTAAGCAACATACAGCTTGGGGGTTGGATCTGGTCTGTGAAGAGGTTGGATTTGGCCAGTAAAGGTCCCAGTAAAACAGGGTGTCAAATCTTTCCACAGAGCACCCCCTCTGCAGCAATCCTTGATGCTCTTTTGCATCTATACTTACCCTCACTACAGAATTTGCCCCTTTCCATTGCTGCTGAGGTAGGGATTGGAGGGGAGTGTAAGTCCAAGTGGGTGGGTATGCTGGGGAGTAAAGACTTACAGACCACAGCAGCAAAAGGCTACTAACCCCTGTGCTAAAGCAATACTCTACTCTAGTTTATATCACTTTTATATAGATGGCTTCAGTGGTGTTATTCCTGATTTATGCTCACATAGGTATAATCAGAATCAAGGCCAGTATGTCAACTTTGACTTTTATATTACTGGAAAAAGGAAACATAACAACAAACCTTAAAACACAAGAAACTTTCTCTAGATATAGTACAAGGAAAAACGTAATTCAGGATTTCTTACCATTGTTTGGCTTATCGGTTCTATTAGTATCGGGCATGTTAGTGGTGACAGTGGGTGGTGTAGGAGTAGTAGCATTTACAGTAGCTGGTAATAAAGATGAGAAAGAGGTGAACTTGGATGAAACATGAATGTTAATGAGGTAAGGCAAACTGGGAATAATGCATGATAACATATATATACACACAGTGAATGAATCCATGTACTTAAACGGCTGTACATGCTGTATACACACACACTAATTTCCATATAAAGTGATGGACATAAATGAACTGACATGAGTTCCGATCCTGAAACCTTTTACTTTCATTAACTTCAGTGGGAATTTTACCAGTGCAAGGGTTGCAAGATCACAAACTTCACAATCCTTAGATCCAACAGCTGTGCAAAGGCCAGAAAATAAATCATACAACTTCTAAGACACATAAACTAAGAACATGAGCTTGTGAAAAAATAACTGTCTCTACTCAGGGACTAAGGATGAAGAACAAATGTGAAAAGAACACACCCATGTAAGGATTCAATTAAGTACACTGAGGGCTGTATAATGAACAGAATTAAAATCAGACTTTAAATACTTGTAAGGAATATATTTTCAAAGCTTCACATAGGATCTTAACTGACATTAATATGCGTCCCCCACCCCGCACAGTGCTTAAAAAATTTACCACAAGTACTAGCTCAAATGCGTTTTCTGTGAAGTGGAGGCAAGATATATAGCTGAAAATTCTTCCTGGAATGAACAGGATTATACACATGAAAGATGAGGGAAAAAAAAGGAAAAAAAGAAAAAAAAAAGACCCAAAAACCCCACATGCTACTAAGTTTAAATAAGAGTAGTTTTGGGGGAAAAAGGAACTTTATTAAGTAGTTCCCATGGAACATCTACCCAAGATGAACTGATGAACACCTTTTTACTGGAAGACTGTTTCTACAATGTGAGGACTTACACATCATGGGGCACATCTACATGTCACTCTATGGTGGCGTAGCACTGTTCTATGTCACTATACGGTGCACTATGGCAATGTAGCGATCACGTGGGTCTATATGTGATCGGCAGCTACATCGCTGTAGCAGCCCGCTCCCCTGTTTTACTGCGTGGCTTTGGTGGCATAGTGGTGAAATCTAACCATGCGCTGTGTGCATGGCACAGTATGGACAGTTATTATGCCGTGCTTTAGTACTTCCAAAAGGAAGTACTAAAGCTCAGCACAATAGCAATGCTGCTGTACATCAATGTGAAGACACGCCCACTGTCTTGCATGCTCTTGTTTGAAAAAAATATTTTGCCAACAATCATATTTTAAAGGTTAAAAACTGTATTTCAAAGATGTTTTTGTTTGTTTTTAGTTTCATTATGATACTGTTTTTGCTATAAACTTCTCTAATTTTGGGGGGGTGGGAGAGTAAATCTTTTAATTTATTTGTTTTTATTTTGTTTAAACAAAATACAGGAAACAACTTAAAATTTGAATGTAAAGATGATATATTTTCAACCATTTGTATGACCAATAGATAGTTTATTTAGCCAAGTCAACAAAAGCAGTACTGCTGGAAAAATGGGGAAAAATATCCTAGAGTATCTGGTCCTTTTATCATGGTAAATGTTCCTATAGGAATCTAACATCTTTAATCCATATAAAAGGAATCAGTTATGTGTGTTCAAAATTTTGCCTTCTAAGATTCTTTTGAAATAAGTTCCTTAAAAAAAAAGCCTGTTTCAGATCTGAAAAGGGCCAAACTATTCAAAGTATAGTACTCCATGATAATTAAAAACAGATGACCAGTCTTACATGGGTGGGAACAGGAGATGGTGATAGTGTTTAATAGACCATTCTGGCGTCAATTATTCCCTATCAAACTTAAATCACTTGCAGCCCATGGTGATGGTTTTTTATAAGTTAGAAGATTGCATTCTGTGAGGCTATTTCTGAACTAAGTTTCAGGGTTTACTTATTGGAGGTGAGCAGCACTCAGAGTGAAATGTGTATGACCCTAGAAGTAGAAGTTTAATAAACCTTGACACAGAAAGAAGTGCCAAGGCCTCAAAAGCCCAGATGAAGATGGCAAATGCTGTAGGAGTCAGAAACTGCTGGAAATCAGGCTTAGTGTATGTTATACAGTGAGAAGGAACACTGTTTCCTTTTGAGTTAATGAGTAACCTACTATAATGATTACTACCATAATGATATATAATTTTCATTGTCATCTTAATGTTGGCTATAATGCTGTCCCATGAAGTCTTACAGGTGAGCTGTAATCTAGAACAAATTGGTTTGATCCATTTTCTCTTCTGCCCTTAGTTTGGGGACAACAACCATCACAGTATTCTTTAGTATCCAATCATACTAGAATGGCTTGCAATAACTGGTCTTTATGAATAATAGCTTCATTCTAGGAGCATGATTAGAAGAAGGAAAAGTTGAGCAAAAAGGCAGCACAAAAAGAACAAAATTTTACTAACCTATACCCAGATGCCTTAGGCACATGATACCCAATATTTACGGACCTACCTAATTCACAGATGCTACCTTTGTATTTTGTGATCCCGGCATGGTGTTGGGGGCCAATTTTGTGGTAGAGCATGGTGGCCACCCCATGCCTCTGATTGGATGAGGAGCAGGACTTCTTGAGCCCTTTGCCTCAAACACAGGCAAGGGAGGGGCCCTTCCGCCTCTCCCTGGAGACTGACAAATGGCCATCTGTCAACCTCTGGAGAGCGGTGGGACTTCCAGGGCCCCTTGACCAATAAGAGGCATGGGAGGCCCCTCTGGTCATCTCTGGAGATGGCCATCTGTCAACCACTGGGGAGAGTTTCCAGGACCCCTCAGCTAATCTCCCACATCACCCTCCGCTCTCCTTCCCGCCCATGCTCCAGAAAGCCAGGGCTTCCCACACTTTTCTGTTTAGAGCTGCCTTCCTCCCCCCCCAGCTGACTCGCTGCTGTTTTACTGTTTTTTCATGGTCCCCATGCTTTTTCAAAGGGACTGGGATTTTTCACTGGGGGACCTACCAAATTTGCAGAATTCCCTACTAATACTAAAGTGAAAGTATAGCCTTAGCTCACTGAAGTGATGACATTAATGTTATAAGACTAGTTTAATATGGAGGACTCTAACCTCTAAGAAAAAAAAAACATCTTAGCCATGAGGCTCATCCCACTGTTTTCATTTTAATACATAGTCCAAGGGCCTGGGAAGTAGCAACACAGAGCAATTTTAAACTGAAAAGTAACTACAAAATAATGGGGCTGTCTTATGCAAAATATCTGTTTTCCAGGTATATGCTGAGATGCATGCTTAAAGTTTCCTAATTCCTAATCTCACATGGCACACCTTTTGCCTGAATGATATTCAATGTGCAGAACCCATTGATTCTTTCAAACAATGGTGGTGGTAGTGGTGCCCCTCATATTTTGCACCATAGCTTCAAATCCCTATTTTCCATTTCCTAACAGAGTGTCTTAATCTCCTGGCTTAATCTCCACTTTGAATAAGGTGAGGGGAAAGTGATCCTTTACCCTCTTTTTGAGCTAGACAAGTAGGCAGAAAAGAGTTCAAGAGTTAGGAGGATGGAAGAAGAAAACGGAAATGGAAGACTGATTCTGTAGCCCAGTGAAGAAGGCACTCCTCGGGGCAGGGGGGGGGTCCTGTTATCTGCTACCAGTTATTTTTATTTTTTAATTTTTAACAGGTGCTTGTCTAATGGGACATGCCAGGGGTGGATCTAGGTGGCTACAATAGTGCAGTTGCACTGTACTTTAATTCTTGCTCTACTCAAACTTGAAAACTGCCTGAAGAGGCAGTGGCATTTCTATTCAGGGAATACTGAGTGAGGCAATGGACTTCATGGCTTTTTATAATCTACCTGATTTCTGCTAATCTCTATAAAGACTGCACAGGTCCCTCTCTCCTTTCTAATCGCCTTGATGTTCCACCATGCAAACTATCCTATTTTTTGCAATTTTGCTGTCTTTCAGCAATTCTTCATAATGTCTCTCTTCTATTTCACAGTCCTACAGACTGTTTTTAGCTCTATGTAAAAAGTTTAACTCTGATGTAGTGATATTAGTCAGGTTTAGAAATGACTGACAGGGACGTATTGGAGGTACTATCAAGACTCTCAAGGAGCACTCTCTACATGAGATGCACACTGCACAGTTGACTAAGCAGCTGCACAGTAAATGTCATCTATTCGTGCACCTCTATTAGGCTGGAGTAAACTAATTTACTCTGCAGCAGGACAGTACTTGTAAATACAACTACCATCTTTCTGCAGAGTAAAAATCTCCATAGCAGTGCATATGTAGACACTTCTGAGACTCACAAGGGCATGAGGGTGCTTTAGGGCAGGGGGTGCCTGCCAGCTAGTCCTACGCTGAAGCTCCCTTGTACTCCAGCCAGACCATCTGCAGAAAATTGATTGGGGGAGCAGCCTCAGGCTGGCAGGCTGACCCTCTGGACTCCCTGCCAGCTAGGGCTGCTCTAACCTGGCTCAAAGTGCTGCGCTCCTGGGCACATGTTCAAATGTCAATACACTCCAGAGATTACTGCTCCTGGGCACACATTCAAACAGTGTGCCTGGGAGCAATAAACTCTAGAGCAATAAACTCCGGAGTTTATTGCTTCACTTTAATTGCATGTGTAGATGCCCAACAAGACTACATTTTGTTTACAAATTTGAGTAAGAAAGGTACATTTAATTATAATGACTATAGGGATAATGACACCATCATTGGGCTATACTGATCCTTTTTTTCTTGCTTAGTTTATTGTGTTATTTAAATTTAATATATAATCAATCACATTAGTGCATATTCTAATAAATTTATATTTGTTTTTGCTTTGCTCTTAAATGGAATAATATAGCTGTTGGCCCCTACCATCTTAGTAAAGCTTCTAGTTTTAACTGGAGAAAAATGTATGTCATTACTTGTGAAGATGCACCACATTGTGCGCACCCCCCTTTTCAAAATCTTAGATCTGTCTATAGTAAATGCATAAACACTCTTTAGAACTGGCTGTTTGTCCCCTTAGCCTGAGAAGTACCTAGAACCCATAGCTCCCACTCCCTAGGTAAATAAGCTAACCACCAAAGATCCTGTGCTAAAGCTGAGCAGAATCTCTACTTTTCAAGAATGAAAGTTGATGTGAACCTTGTGTTTTGTGCTTGCATTGTGAATGCTGCTTGTAAGGTGAGCTGGTTGCTCTGAATGCTGAGATGACAGATGTGTCTGAAGAACAGCCCTCAGTCGGACACATTGAACAAACTTTAGTTTAAGTGCCCCCGCTGCCATTTTTTTCAGTGTAGGGATGCTGATAAACAAGACACTGGAGACTGCTGGAACACGGCAATTATCACGCTCCAGCAGACTTGATTAATTGTAAAAGTAATTACAGCATGTTGGAGCAGCCTTGCTGCTTATGTATAGGCATCCTTAAGCTCTGAGGAGTGGGCATTCTAGCTCTGTGTCTAGCATTGTCAGTTGGCAGTTCTAAACCACCTCCTTGCACATTGCCTGCATGTTATTTTCTCCATGAACTATATGACAGTCTTAGATGCCTAACCCTATTGATTCAGATTGCATGTGTAGGGCAAAGGTTCCTTGTTTTTTTGTGTCTCAATGTCTAAAGTCTCTTATAGGCACTGCTTCAAACAGGCCTTAAGGTTTTTTTACTCCTTTGAGTAAGGCAGGGACAAAATAAATAAACGATGCTATAGCTTCACGGCTATAGATCTATTAACTAGGTCCCAAGCAGTTACATTGGACTGAACATAACGAAGAAAAGAGAGCTCTCCTTGTGAATGTGATTTGAATGTTCAGAACCTTAATTAACTGGTGATGATGGACAAAAAGAAAAAATGGAAATCCAAACCCATCCTCAGAACCCAAAGTAAATTTTCAGTGCTGGCAGGCAGATGCATACACAATTCTGATTCACAGTAAACTGAACAGAGTTTTGGCAACACTGGGCAATAAACACAGAAAGCCACAAGGTTATTTTAAGAGTCACTTTTCAGAGTAAGACTGCACATCAAGAATCAACGTTCTGGGACTGAGAATAAATTGCCATGCTGACTGTGAACAAATCTCTTGGCATGTTTCTGAAAGAGTAGGGTAGCACCCTTGTATTCAGATTTTCATAATCCTTTTATTACAGTTGTGTGAGAGATTCTTTCGAGTTCACAATGGTTACTTAAGCTGTTGCTCTAGTATCTAACTGATAATTTCAAAGTACCTTTGCTATAATAAGTAATGAAGATGCTATTTTAAATAAAATTCTGGACATAATTGGCATTTTCCCATAAATAGAGACCTTAGGATCTAGACTTCAGTTTATACTTAGTCTGAAATACATTAAGTATACTATGCTTCAGAAACTTGGCTCAAATGAACTAGAAATTCTGAGTCAAGCGCTGAAATTCCATTGTAGCCTTTGAACTGGTTTTCCACCAGCAATACATTTTCCCTTTTGTTGTTAAGCTAAACCTTTTATTTTCAAACTTGTTTTAGAAAGAGTTCCTTGGATCTTCATTTGGTTTATCTAATTTAGTTTTCTTTCCCTCCTGCTTCTGTCCCTCATCCCTTATCTTTTTGGTTTTATCATTTGAAATGATTAAATAGAATTGCTGCAGTTCCCACTTGTATGAAAATTTTGCAAACAAGCATTAGCTTAGTAGAACGGTCTGGGTTTACAAATGCATTGACCCTGCTAACATAAAGGATTTGAGCAGAATTCAAACCATTGACCAAAGCTGCATGACTGACCCGGTGTGAATCTCGGCATATAATCTTACAGGTGTTATTCATATGACATACATGAGCATAAGTCTGCAGAGGTCACCCATTTCTACTGAAAACTGTATTCAAGTTCATTTAGCATTTCAAGAGATCTAATACCATGGTTCCTATTATGAATGGTAAGTCATGTGGATTACTAGTGACTGTGACTAGTGACTACAGTGCACAAGAAAATGGAGACCAAATGTCTCACCATCAATTATTGCACTGTTTTATTTTATTAATTATTATTAATGGACTTTGCATTTTGATGGCATCTTTCACATCAGTCTGCTGAAAACACACAAATTGTGGAATTGCATCTGCTTGTTTTTTATTTAAAGCCTACTCCCATTCTGTTCTGTTTATTATTTTACCCTTAAAATGTGCAGGAGGGAAAAAGAAGAGAAAAGAAATGAAACCAGTCCATCCATCCAAGAGCATGTGACTGTTAGGTTTTGACATAATGAAGACTTTTTGGAAATGTATTATCAAGCGTGTGATCACATTCTTTCCACACACTGTGTGTACAGTACACCCACAAATCCGGTGAGGCTAAAAAATTCTTTTCTTTGCTCATTTTTTTTCTAGGCTTCTGCCTGAAAAAAATAGTAAAAGTACAATGAAATGAAAATGAGAGAACAAGAGAGATCAGTTAAAGCTGAATCTGTAGGGATATCTTTCATGTCTTACCTTGGCAAAGGCTTCCCAGGTTTGCACAACTGGTTGGTTCAGTTGTAGGTGTGGGAACTAAGTACGAGCCTTCAGAATAAGAAAAGATAAATCATTACAAAGGCTTTGCACGTGATACCTAAGACCATCATGTCTCAAAATACATTAAGGCATGCAGTGACATCTCTGTTCTGATCTATTCCTGTGGGAAACCTGATATGCCATTTTGCTCGTAGGCCTAATGCACTGCCATTCAGCTTTGATGCTAAGGAATCCAGGAAAGCCCCTTTGGCTTGCAAATTACAGTCATATCTAATGTCTAAATCTCCTCCCATGTCTTTTAAAATTTCCATTGGCTTTAGCTACACAACACCCCTGAAAACCGAAATGCACTGTGTGCACCAAAAACTTTAGGGGCTAGTCTGGCTTTAGTGCCCATGAAGGGTTAGAAAATTGTAACATACTGGAGATCCGATCTCATCTGGAGTCATACAGTCTACAAAATCATCTTGTGAGATACCAAGGAGATCAGCTCTTATACACCAGGTGTAAACATGAGTAATGTTTTGCTATGTGCATATGATGAACGGGGAAATCTTTTAAATACATGTATTAACTGAATTATTCATAATGATACATACATATATTGTTGCTTAGAAATTCAACTAACAGAGGAAGCACCGAGAAGGCTGCCTTAATTAGTCTTTGCTTATCCCTGTGCATCAGATGCATATGCAGATGCTTTTGCACGTTATTTTGAAAATAATAAAGCCATACAGAATGGCTTTTTCTGGCTCTGCTGGGATAGTTGCATTCTTGGCACTAACTCCACCACTTCAAAATCATATTGCTTCAAAGAGCATGAAGCATTACATCTGTCAATGAAAATTAGAGAGACCCATCAGCCTACTTTTACAGTGCAGGATATATTAACTGAGACACAAGGTCAGGATGGAGCCAAAGGCCCTAAGTCAGCAGCCCTGAATTAAACAACAATGCAGCAGGATGAGTATTGCTGCATGGGGATCTGAGGGAAGAAATGGCCAGAATTAAAAATGCCTTACCATGTGCTGACATTAAAGCTCAGTTTTTTTTTTCCAAGAAATAGATTGAATCTTATGGAATACTGCAAATATATTTGCTAATACTAAAAGACTAATAAAAAATGTTGCTGAAAGCAGATTTACTATTGGCTCTGTATGTGACATTTATTGCTCATTAAAAGGAGGTATAATGATCGGGAGGTAACTACATTTTGGATTCCTGCACTATGTGCAACTTACTTTGACATACCTGTACTAGTTTTAAACTACCTAGCTCAGGCACTGATACAAGTATATGGTACACCTAAAATTCAACTAGTGCTATGGTACAGTAGTAAAATGGCAAGCTTGGTTAGATTTCTTTGGGATAAAGGTGTACACACACACACACACACACACACACACGGGGCATGTCTACACAAGATGTTTACCGCGGAATTGCCTAATTAGCTTTGCAGTAAATGTCTCAGTGTCTATACATACAGGGCTATTGGGTTGGAGTAAAGTAATAAACGCCACTGAAAGTTAGTACTTGTAAATACAAGCACTATGCTATGGTGGAGTTTTTTACTCCACAGCAATGCACATGTAGATGCTGACAGGGCTGTTTGGGGCCTGCCAGCTAGACCCACACTGTAACACCCTTGTGTCCCAGCCAGTCCCTCCATAGCACTTTGAACTGAGTTGGAGCAGCTCCGGGCTGGCAGCTGATCCCCTGGGTTCTCTGCCAGTCAGGGCTATTATACAGTTGGTCCAATAAAAAATCCCACATAAAATCCATGCCCCTCATAAATTTCTTGGACCATCATGGCTGCAACAACACTCCGACCCTGCTAAAAACCTGGAGTCAGTCAGTTACCTTGCTACTTTGTGAGAAGTTATATTTATTTTATAGAATAACTTTGTTACAAAAAACACAAAAGAACAAACCTGACACTTCTCACAGGTAGATGTGTTTAAAAATGTGAAACTAGGGTGTTAGTTCTATGAAAACAGCATTACGTTACTTACTGGGTGCATCTACACATGCACTTTACTGTGGAGTTGACTCATTAGCTCCGCAGTAAAACATCACCATCTACACATGCGGTGCTATTAAGATGGAGTACATTAATTAACTCTACTGTAGAATAGTACTGTTCAAGACAAATATTATCCTACAGCAGAGTTATTTAGTGTACTGAAATGGAAGTGTAGATGGTGACAGGGGCTGGCTGGGGCACAAGGTTGCTACTGTGTGGAGGCTGTCTGCCAGCTAGCCCACACTGAAGTGCCCTTGTACCCCAGCCAGCCCCTCTGCAACACTGAATTGGGGTGGAGCAGCTGACCCCCAGGCCCTCCTGCCAGCCAGGGCTACTCCACCCTGGCTCAGTGTGCTATGATCCCAGGCGCACGTGTAATCGCTGCACCCGGGAGCAATAAATTCTGGCATGAAGTATGATAGAGTTTATTCAGGCACATTAATAGTATGTGTAGACATGCCCACTGGTAGTTAGTGCCATATATTTGTATACTGCTCTCAGATCAATAAAAATAAGGTCCACACTCCAAGCCCAATTAGACTAAAATACATTTTTTTAAGCTTATTTGGTTGTTAAATTGTATCTCTTATAACCTTGCTGTTCTCCTAGAAGCACTCAGCACTTGAAATTGCATGCATGTGGTGTGGAGTTAGTAAAAGATCAACATTTTAAAAGTATATTAAAGTCGTAAGGGAGCATGAAGGCTGTGAAGGAAAAGGCAATATTAGATATATAGAAAATATTATTGTCATGGAGAGGCAATTGTGTTATATAGTGGTGGCTGTTTGTTAAATTATATAACTGTCAGCCTGTGGCCTCAGCATGACCAGTGTGGCTGCCCATCTAAGCCTGCCACCCTTCAGGCTGGTCACCCAGCTGGTCACCCAGGCTGTCAAATCTGGCCTGAAGCCTCCAGCAGGGCCTAACCCTCTGCCAACTCCCTGGCACCAGAGTGGTGAGCTGGGGTCAGCTGACTGCACTTTCCTCATATCTCTCTCTGACCCAGAACAGGAAGTGTCTGGGAACAGGGCTTTACCTGACTCTCGAATGCATTGCTGTTCCCTTTGGCTTGTTCTCTGACTCCACCTATACTGCTTGATCTCCCACCTTCTCGACCCAGCTTGCTCTCTTAATTTGATCTCTGCCTGATCTCCCAGCTTTTTGACTTCTAGTCTCTGCTCTCAGACTGACCTCCTGGCTTTCTGAACCTGCCTATACTTGAATTGTGTACACCTTTTGCCCCTGGTCAGCACCTTAATCCCCAAGTGGCCCCAAATCTGGGCACCCATGACTTAGTGTGACAATAATTGTGTGTGTGTGTTTCATAGCTGTGTGATTTCAATATTATCAACATAATAATTATTTTGACCTTTTGAATTTTTTTCCACATAAAAAATCTTGTTAGAATCAATGTTTCCACTGAATGATTTGACTCTAATGAAGTTTCATTTTCCAATGGAGAGAGATTCTTCCAGAAAAATTCAACCAGCTCATATGCATATACACTAGCCCTAGGACATATACAGGTTGTTCAGGTGGCCTTTAGGAGGACCAACCCATGTCCAGACCATAGACCTTTTGATTCCTTTTTGCCCTGGATCTGAAGAAACAAACCCTAGTATTCTAAAATATGACAATATTTTCACTGAATGATTTTATTCAGGCTAATGAGATCTGTGTGATGGTCCATGAAGCATAGACATGGACACACACAAGATTTAGCATGATTTACCTGAAGTATAAACCTCAAGTGGAGAGTATACAAGGCTGTTAAACTGGTTTCTATCTTTCTGGAACAGTTCAAAAGTATACCTGGAAAATCTAGTACTATTTTGAACCAGTTCAGTTTATGAGTAGAAACCATTGGGATTCCTTAAGATGGGTCATGGTAGTATACCAGGCATCCCACACTACATCATTTCTTACTCTTTCTATCTCTCTACTGCTGCAACTGGCTGCTCTGGTACATAGGCAGAACTCTACTGCTCCCTCTTTTCCCTCTAGTTGGTACGTTTTATCTGTGAACTTCCTCACCGTGTTTGTTCAATAAAAGCTATCTTTCAAACAATCACCTGTGTCCTCATTTCATATTCAACCACAGCCCATTATCATGCTGAACCCACAGGAATCAAAAAGCATGGGTCCATGCCCTCCCCCAGATCAGGCAAGCACATTGCAGACTTTGGTCATCTGCAGACTACTGTAGTTTAGTAGTTAGTTACTGATGTTTACTGAACTCATGTTTCGGAAAGGAAGGAAAGCAGAAATGAAAGTGCCCCAGCTCCAGGTTAACCACCTCCTCACATCTCCGAGCATGGGTAAAGTATTTCCTTCCCGTTCACCATTGTGAATGGTGCTGAGCTGGGTGCTTACTCCCACAGTACTTCACACAATTATGAATTGGTTCCTAGTCCACAACATTTGTTATGTATGTCCATACCCTTTTAGAATCATACAGCAAAAGGATAAGTAGAGATGGAAACACGAAGCAATAGCAGTTCTCAGAATAAAAGGGCTGGACATCTTTATAGTCGTTCTATTTCTGCAACACCATTAAATGGTTATAGGGATGTGGTACACAGGACTGATGAACTGGACCCGAGCAAGCTTTGCTTTAATCAACCTAGCCATTATGCTTTCCCTCAGAAGACAAGGGCCCTCCTCCAGGTTCTTTTTTCTCCTTCCCTTTAATTACATGAATTTCATTGGCTCTCCTCCTAATCCCCATGGCCTTCTAAGCATGAAGGTTTTTTGTAATATCTTGGACCACTGCTGGCATGCCAGAGCAGCTTCACCAGAACTTGCAGAAGACTACATCTTTACCACCATATTATCTAAACATCCTCTGAACAGGATTAGCTGAAATGGCAATGAAAATGTCTGAGAGTTCTGTATGCATTACAGTTTTGACTGTTGTACCAGTTCCCCAGTCTAGGAGCTGATCCTCTAAACACTTAGTTATGTATTTAAGCCAGATTCTCTGATGTATTACAGCATCTTTGCAGCTGCTCTAAGTCAAGTTGCAGTGGGGGAAGGTCCTAAGAACTGGAAAGGCAGACCCAGCTCTTCAATGGTTCTCATACATCTCAGCACTGAACAGAACTCTGACACAGGAAAGAACAGAGGCTGTATACCTTTAGCACATTAGTAGTCCATTATCTACTCAAGGACTTAAATTTAAGCACATTCCTAAGTACTTGCAGGACCAGGGCCTATCCTGAATCCCTTCAGGTTAAGAACTCTGTCATTACAGAAACACGTTAACTATGCATAACTCTAGCTATAGGCCGCATGTAGATGAAACAAGAGGCGTGTCTGCATACTTTAAAGTGGGCTAAATGCTTTTGCACCGCTTTAATGGTGTCAGTGTTTGCACGCATCAGTGGTGTATTGTGCATTAATTCCAACCGCTGTAGGAAATGCGGTGGCATAATGCATCTTAAATGACTCGGGGTGCAGCAAACTAAAAGTCCTTTGAGGAGTTTTAGTTTGCTGCCCTACAATTGCAGAGTGAAGCACCCGGCTCCGTGCAGCTCAGGGGCTCTGCAGGAAGCCCTGCAGGCAGCCTAACAGCAGCCCAGGAAAGCAGGTTCCGCCCAAGAAAAGCAGCGAGCCTGATCTTTTTTTTCCCCCCTGGTGCCTGCTTGCCTGCCTGAGCTGCGCAGGGGGTGCTTCCCTCCACTGCAGTGCTCCCTGTGACTGCCGGAGCCAGGTGCCTGCAGGTGGGTGCTGCCTGTGGGGGGGCGCAGAGGGAAGCC